TCTGGAACATTGCTGGCGGCAACGGCAGAGGGAAGTGAGCCTTGGAGGGTCTTGCAGAGGAACATTAAATGTTCCAACTCAGAAACCCTGTCACCTCCACTCACAATTCATTGACCTGAAATAGTCACAGGCACCCTGCCTTCCCATAGCACCACCCACAAGGGGGCCAGAAACCGCCTGGATGGTGGAAAGCAGGAAATATTTGGCAAAGGGTGCTAATGACTATCATATTTCATTTCCTTGATTTTGAGCTTTTGTGATTTAAGCAACAAAACGCAATTTTGTTTATAACCTTTCCTACAACATACATTTATAAAATACAATCTTCCTTGTAACAGCCCTATATAAGCCCTATAATGATGCATAGAGAAAATAAATACTTAAATAAGGTCAAATAGGAAAGTCAGACGTGGAAACGGAAAGATAATTCAAATCTCTAGCCCACTGGTACTGGATGAAACTCATCTATTCCATATTTGTGGAGGTAAATTACTCATGGGAAAAAAGCAACAACTATATTCTTTTTTTTTTTTTTTAAATTTTATTTATTTATTTTTTTCCCCCAAAGCCCCAGTAGATAGTTGTATGTCATAGCTGCACGTCCTTCTAGTTGCTGTATGTGGGACTTGGCCTCAGCACGGCCGGAGAAGCGGTGCGTCGGTGTGTGCCCAGGATCTGAACCCGGGCCGCCAGCAGCGCAGCGCACTCACTTAACTGCTAAGCCAGGGGCCGGCCCGACAACTATATTCTAAAATAAAATCATTGCTCAAGTTTTAATTGGGTCCAAGGACAAGATGTAAAAATCCTTTGTGTCTTGTGTCATTATTTGGCAATTATTCTGGTAACACAGAGAAGGGACATCTGGGCTAGCAATCCTAGATAGAACAGCCTGAACTGTGGAGAAATACATCCTAGTATCCCAGGCCCATTTTTTAGGCATGAAGCCAAAAGTAGCATACAGATACTTACCTGGAAAGTTGCTGATTCTGTCGCAGGAAAAGAAAAAATATTTTCCCTCTACCCTCCTAGGTTCTCTAGCTGGGGTTCTGAAAATTGAACTAAAAAAAGACAAATTAACAAGAGAGAAAATAGTTTTAATTATGTAAGTATGCATGGAAATTTCACCAAGAAATGAGACTCCAGGAGGCCAGAAGATTGAGCTTTATATATTACCTTAGGTTAAGCAAAGGAAAAGAGATTTGGGGCTTCTGGTGGGGGGGCGGGGGCAGCACAAGTTATGGGAAGATGAGGGGAGGAAATGTCTGGTAAATAAGGGGTGACTTGTTATGCAGATAAGAGTTTCTCAGGTGATAAAGGTTGTCTCTGGGAGTAGCTCTCTTCCTAGTACTTCCAGGAGATACCATTATAAATGGAAATTTCCTTTATAAATGTCGATTTCCTTTACAAAAGGGGAAATTTATACTCAATTTTTAGGCAGAGGGAAGTGAAGAGATTTTCCTGATCTGCTGGTCCTCGATTGCCTTTAGCTCAAAATAATCCATATGCCAAATAGGCACATTTTGGAGTGGCATATTCTGGTACACTTCACCGAGTATACAAGAATATCCATCTCTAATTTTTTAACAAGTAACAAATGATTATTCCTTAGTAAATACTAATAAAATTATCAGTTCATTATTACACAATATTTGGTTCCCAGGAGCATTAGTAACTAATGAGGGAGATGGGTAGTGTTAAATCAATTACATAAGGACGCCACCAGACTGAGGTGGGTTTAATGTCTTAGCAGCCCACATAAGCAAACCAAAACCTAAGCCCGTAAATGCCTCAAGGTTAAGAAATTGAAACGTGAGGACAACCAATTACAAACAGCCAACTCGGCTTTCCCAAAAAAGGTAACTGCTTAAACTACAGCCAACCAAATAATTTTCTCATTTTGCTTCCTCCTTTTCTCTATAAAAGTCTTGCCCCTACCTTCTGTCGGCAGAGCTCCTAACCACTCCCAGTTAGGTGCTGCCCGATTTGAATCAATTTTTGCTCAAACTCTTAAAATGTTTAACATGCCTCTTGTAACAGTTGGATTCCGTTGGATCATTAGCCTAAATCTTGAATAGCTTACTCAAGACTCACAGGTCCTCACTTTATATTGTATAAGCCCCCAGGCCACCCACCTACCCAAAGCCTTATGAACTGTCTTGGCTATAATTTCCTGATAGTCACTAGTTTTCAGCAAATAATTCAAATCTTTAAAATATGAAGTGGAAAAAAAAGGAGCTCAACTTAATGAAGATATGGAATGTTGCGTCCACTTCTTTTGGACATTATGCAGTACTCCCTCATGCCGAGTTAGCCCCGTGTTGAATTTTTTTTGTAGTATATTTAGCTATGCTTCAGAGATTCAAAAAGCAGAAGTATATAATTCAAAAGAAATAGACTGCTGGCTTTATTCATAATCAACTGTGGTAGGATGTGGAATGGTACAGTCTTCAAATGTAATTCCAAGGACTGTATTAGCATCAAAGACATGAATGTTTTTCAGTACAGCCTAACTGACCTTGCTTATTAGATGACCGTGGATTGCAGTCTATTATGGTAAAAGGATGTCGCAAAGTCATGATGTTCTCAAATGCTGGGCATGCAGTTTGCAAATGTTTAAAAAGAAGGTCAAAATGCCAAGCATAATTCAAAATGTTTTCGATTCCAAGCTTAAAATTTCTCATGTCAACATTCGTTGTTGCCAGGTTTTCACATTTGTGAGAGCAAAGTCCTTCATTATCTGCACCAAGCTTTGGTCCAAATGTTTTGAGATATTGCAATATAGGGTACTACATTATTGATGAACTGATTCAAAAAATAACTTAATTGTATTTAGAACTCAGCCACCAAAATGCTCCATCAAAAGAAAAGGCCATCACCAAAGACAGGCCCTAGAATGTTCATAGTAGCCCTACCTGTAAAAGCTTCAAACTGGAAACTACCCTAATGTCCATCAGAAGAATGATTTCATAAATTGTGGTATATTCACAGAATGGAATAAAATGAATGATCTACAACTATATGCAACAATATGGAAGAATCTCACAGGTATAAAGTTGAGTAAGGAAGCCAAACACAAAAGAATGCATACTTTATGATTCTGTACATATCAAATGCAAAGACAGCAAAACTGATCTATGTTGTTGAAAGTCAGGATAGGCAGTGACTAGAAGGCAGCATGGTGGGGTCCCTGGGTGTTAATAATGTTCTGTTTCTTGATCTGGGTGCTAGATACACAGGTGTGCCCAGAATGTGAAAATTCATTGGGCTGTGTAAACTTGGAATATGTGCACTTTTCTGTATATATTATGCTTCAATAAAAAGTTTTAAAAAAGCAAGAAAATTCCAGGAAGCCCATGAAAATTTAATTTCAACCCAACATAATAATCCTCAATGTCATGACTAGAATTCGTGAGCCATCAGTGTGAGAATCACTCTCTAGCAGAGTATTCAATGGATTCAGAACAGCTGTCCCAGGACCAGGACACCTAATACGTGAAAACAAGCTAATCATTTACCTTTGAAATCTCCAATCTCTCTGCTTTTCTTTCTCTACCTTTAGTGATATCACCATTGTTTAAGTGAGGTCATCTCCCACCTTGAGTCTCATCTGACACGGTTTTCTAACTAGTCTCCCAATAGCTTATTCCACCTGTCCTCAACACGTTAACAAAAGTGATTTAAAGTCTAAAGCAGATCCTTTTACTACTTTGCTTAAAATGCCTCAATAGAGTCTCATTAAATTTAAATTGTAAAGCCAGCCCTGATGGCCTAGCGGTTCAAGTTCGGCACACTCCACTTCAGTGACCCGGTCTCTGTGCGAGGAAGCATACTACCCATCTGTCAGTAGCCATGCTGTGGCTGTGGCTCACATAGAATAACTAGAAGGACTTACAACTAGGAAATACAACCATGTACTGGGGCTTTGGGGAGGAAAAAAAAAGTGAGAGAGAGAGGAAGATTGGCAACAGATGTTAGCTCAGAGCTAATCTTTCCCAGCCCCCCCCCAAAAAATACAAAAAAATAAAATTTAATGCAAACTCCAAGACTTGGCTAAAAGGTCTGGCCTCTGTCTACCTCATGTCATGCTGCTCTCCCGCTCCCCCTATGCTAGAACCACACTGGCCTTCTTTCTGTTCTTCCAAAATGTCAAGCTGTCCCACCTCAGGACCTTTGCTCTGCTGTCCCCTCTGCTCAGAGTTATAATCACTTTTCTGGTTCCACGGCTGACTGACTGACTCCTTCTCACTCTTCTAGTCTCAGCTTAAATGTTATCTTCAAGTTCTCATATAACAACCCTCCCTATCTAAGTCAACCTCCTAGTATTTTCTATAGCCACATCTTGTCTATTTCCTTCCTTGACATGACTTACTATTTTTTTATTTGCTTGTTTACCTGTTTGTTTTGTCCCTCTTCCTCCTCACCAGACTGTAAAGTCTATGAAGGCACTATCACGTCTCTTCGCGTCAGGATATCCCCAGTGCCTAGCACAGTTCCTGGCATACAAAAGGTCCTCTATAAACACAGAAATACTTGTGCAGTGAATGAATCCACATTCCCAAGGGATCACGAGATCCCTGTGCGATCACGAAGAACGCTGCGCCGTGAGTTTTTCAAAGAACAGCAAGGAAACCAGATGCCTTTCGAGCCCTTTGCCCAAGCAAAGTGTTGGAACTGCGTTCTCTGTTTCCTAGTTGTCAGAACTACCGCCCCCTGGCCCCAAGCGACACACCCCGTTCCTCAACCGGGGGAAAAGTACCAAGTCTCCCGACCCCACCCACCGCTGAGGCGCCCCTCATTGGCCGGCGCTCCAAGGCCCTCGGGGGGGCGGGACGCCACCGTGAGCCGCTACTGGCCCAAGTCGACGTCGCTCTACCGTGCTCTGCTGAAAGTCAGCCGAGTCAAATTGCGGTTGCCGGGAGGCTCGTTGCCGTAGGAATCTGTGATTGGCTGCGATCGAAGGCCTGGCAGCAGGCGCGCCGTCTCGCCAAACGCGGATTGGCCGGAGCTGCCGTCAGTCACCGGGAACAGATTTCTCCTCTCCATCTGGCCCACTGAGGGCGAAAAATTCTCAACAATTTCCAGCAGACGAGCCAGTGGCTGTTCTAACTGCTTGTTCCAGAGATCAGAAACATCGGAGAAGAAAGCCCAATCAACCGAGAAAGCCTCTACCCCTCCCTCCATTAGCTAATTAAAAATCTCCCAGGGGCATAACCATCACGAGGTAAGAGCCTAGAGAATGCACTTCATTTATTTCTGTTACCGTTTATAATATTCGTAGGCGGGGTCGCATCCCACCGCTGCGGGTCCGCGGAATGGAGAGTAGACGGAGGGGGCTCTCCAGGGAGGGGAGGGGAAATGTAGGCTTAATTTCCCCAGCCCCCTCGGTCCGAGCCCCACAGTCAGCGTCTGTGCTCTCTGTGCGCCGCTTTCTTCCCTCGCGAGGTCGGGAGCAGCATGTCCCGGCGGGCCCGCCCCGGCTGCGCAGTGGGCTATGGGCGTTTCCTGCCGAGACCCCGCGCTCGGCCTTGAACTTGACCCCAGACGAGAGGCGCCAGCCGAGCTAGTCGGGTGGACCGAGTTGGAGGGCGGGAGGCACCAGCTCGCGTTTCCCCTTAGCGAGGACCCGCGTCGCCCTGCCCGAGCCCCCGGACGCGAGGATGCTGCAGGTGTCAGCGCCGGGTCGCCGCCGCAGCTGCAGCCGGGCTGGGGGAGACGTGGCGACACCCGGGATCTGTACACGGAGAGGGTGGTTGGGAGGCGGAGACCGCGCGGCGGAAGGTTCTAGGGGGAAAGCCAGCCTTCTGCAGTGCTGCGCTCTGCGCGGGCGGGAGGGTGTGTTTCCTGGCGTGTATCACTCTGGCCACGCATCTGTCACGGCCAGCGAGCCGGGCCCAGGATCCCGGACTGTCCAAGGGTGAGCTTTTCAGGGGATCGGAATAAAGAAGGGTGCAGAGCCCTGGTTGGTGTGGATCTGAGGACGTGGGTTTTGCTTTGCCAGGAGAGCACTGTAATCTCAAGGCCTGTGGCTGGTGATGTCTTGTTTAGCAGCCTCTTTCTGTAGATTAGAGATTTCACAGGAGATGACAAAGAGGGGACTAGGTGGAAATAGCCAGGCAATTTGGAGTCTCTAAAGCTCCAGTGGCCTTTCCGAACTCCAGACTGGAAATGTGCAGCAAGGGCTCTTCAGTCCTTTTCACCCTTCTCCAGTGCCTAGAAAGAATGAGGTTGTGGGGCAGTTTCAGAATGAGCGACTAAAGTGAAAGATTATAATGGTCTTGAAAAGCAGCAATGGTGTCGTGGTATTCCAGGAAAAGAACAGATGCACCGCTGTGTAATAAAATATGTTAGTTAATAATTTTTGAGTAGTGAGTTCTCCTCGCTAATGATTTTTTTCTTGCAAGTTTAGTCGTTTTCTATTGACCACCAACACAGGCACCTCCCTTGACTGGAGTGTTCAAGAAGAAAGAAGAGGGGAGAGGTGCTGGTGATGTAGTGTAGAATGTAAAGGAAAATTCTTAAGTGAACTGTAAAGGTACAGGTTTGGAATATGGTCTGTGAATTGTATCTACATTAACTAAAATGTTTTAAAAGATATCTATGGAATTAGAATAATGAATACTTTTCACTGCTCCCATGTTCTTTTCTCTATTCACACATCTAAACATATGTTCACAACAAACCTAAGGGGAGTCATTTGGGGTTTTGTTGTTCTTGTCATTTCTTCCTTCATGTAGACTAGTATGTTTTCTTTCCCTTCCTCCCAGCAGGGTACTGATAAAGAAGATATCGGAGTCCAAATTTCCTGAAATACATTCCTGAGGTTTCCATACCATTTGAATTTATTGGGATGCATTGGTTGTTTTTTTAAAGTTGACAAAGAAATATTTGGTTTAAGAATATTAGGGCCGGCCCCGTGGCTTGGCGGTTAAGTGCGTGCGCTCCGCTGCTGGCGGCCCGGGTTCGGATCCTGGGATCGCACCGACGCACCGCTTCTCCGGCCATGCTGAGGCCGCGTCCCACGTGCAGCAGCTGGAAAGATGTGCAGCTATGACAGACAACTATCTACTGGGGCGTTGGGGGAAAAATAAATAAATAAAATCTTTAAAAAAAAAAAGAATATTAAAATTACCTTGTCTTTCCATCATGGAAGTTACTGATATAAAGATATCAGAGTGCCACTTTAATGGGCAGATATGAATACTTAAATATTTTTGCTGGAGGGATAAATCTAAGCAGGTTTCGGTAGTACTGATCCTTAGAACTGCTGAATAATTTTGGCATGTGCTTAAAAGAACAGCAATAAACTACCCTTTTGACCTGCTTTCAACAGTCAAGAGCAGGTTGACTCAAATCCCAAGTGCACCTGCCTGCCAGAGAGTGAGTGCCTCCCTTTTCCAAAAATAAATTTGGACAGCTCACAGGTATTTAAACCATGGAGAGATTATAACATGGGAGTAAAATGAAAATATAAAATTAGCATAGCAATCTTGTAGCTGTACATGTGGCTTTTTTTCACCAGCCTCCCACCTTTTATTTTTAAATCAAGTAGGTACTTCAAAAGTTTACTACAAACCAAATGCATTTTTTTCCTTTCTGATGCTTTTCACCTGGGATTTTCTACTGTCAGGATGTGGGTTTTAATCAGCGCTCTCATGGAGAATTTCTATGCCTGCTCCTGCGGTCCCACAATTTATTTCCATTTAACTCTCTTTGCTGAGATCTCTCCTGCTAAGTCAGAATTGTTAAACCGGGGGCCAACCTTGTTCGCTAGTCATGTTTCTGTGTCAGGGCTTTAAAGTACTATCAGATTAACCAGTTAAAACGTTGAGGAGGAGGAAGATGATGGGGAAGGCCCAGTCACACAAAGCAATGTGAAAATGCTGAAAAAGGGAAGAATTTTCAGGTATTTATTTATTGATAATATGTAGAATATCTTTTTTTGTGTGTGTATATATGTGTGCACACACAACATTTTAAAAAATTCGTGTAATTAAGGTAAATTTGCGAGCCATACATTTTTGTTTTGATTGGGAAATAAAAAGGAATTTGGAAAACGGTTTGGCCTAGGGGGAAAATTGTCTAATTTTTTTCCTTTTGGTATATGACTATCAATGTAGTTTAGGTTGCTTATATAAGTAACCTGTTAATGTAGCTAGAAATCCAATCAAGGTATCTTTATTTTCTTGCTTAGAATACTTTATGAAATTTATTTTTCCTAGTATAGTATGTGTGGCGTGTGTTCCTGTGTTCTTAGTTCATTTAACTTTTGCTCTTTGTGTCTTTTTTTTAATAATTTTATTTATTTATTTTTTCTCCCAAAGCTCCGGTAGATAGTTATACGTCATAGCTGCACATCCTTCTAGTTGCTGTATGTGGGACGTGGCCTCAGTGTGGCCAGAGAAGCAGTGCGTCGGTGCGCGCCGGGAACCAAACCCAGGCCGCCAGTAGCGGAGCGCGCGCACTTAACCGCTAAGCCACCGCTAAGCCACGGGGCTGGCCCAGACTTGTGTCTTTAAATGGCGTTCAAGCAGAATTACTTCTGCCCTTTGACTCTTTTGGATAACTTTGACTTTTCAAAGGTTAAATAAAAATGTTAAAATGGTTTATAAAAAATAAGCTATCCTTGATTTCTGATTGAGAGATTGACATAAAGGATTCCTAAATAACTGGTTTTTAGTTTGCAGAATGATAAACACATGCCAATATATAATTGCTGAACTGACAAAAATAATTCTTGGGTATTTGTCAGTTTGTTCTCTACTCTTTTGTTATAAAAAACGCTGATTGCTTTTTTTCTTTTTTTGAAGGTTTTTGTTTTTTTTTAACATCATAAATTCTACTCTCTCTTGCGTGCTAGTCAGTGCATAGTCATTTCCATGGGCATCTGCAGAGCTGCGGGCCTGTGAGGCTGATTCCTAGTTTGAAGCTCTGGAGGAAACTTTTCTTGATGTGTAGGTTTAAGTCAAAGTTGTTATTTAGCTTGGGAACACAGTTCCTCTTTGAATTGTTTCCTCAGGAATATGGAGGGTATTAGTATGATCTAGTTATATTGCATATGGAAAAGGAGATGGAATTCCTTCTTAAACAGAGTCTCCTGCTTGTGTAAGTGATGCTGACCTAGTTCAAACTAGCTATATATCTGGTTCACATTTCATCTATGCTAATAGTATGCCTTGAAGTAGATGTTCTCCTATGTCTATTCTGCTTACTGTCTGAGATGATTATGCAGATAATAAATGAGAAAAGACGCCAGGTTGATGATTGATTTCAGTTTATGCACGCTTAAAGAAACTTGCATTCTATTTCACTCTTAAAGAATGTTTCCAGTGGATATTTGTTCCCTGCTAAGAATGCAGCTCTGTTTTATATTTTTTATTTTCAGAGGAGAGAGAGAGAGAGAGAGAGAGAGAGAGAAAAAGAGTATCCTAGAAGAGCTGCAGAAAAACTTTATTCAATATTTATTTGTTTGTAATTTTAGAACTCTTGTTTAAAGTAGGTGCATGACTGCAAAATGGCACAAGGCTAATAAAGCGTACATGCTTATTCAGATTGAAACCTTAGCAATAGTACTTTGTTAATTTCTGGTACTCTTCAAATATGAATGTTTTCTAATAAACATATTCAAGGTTTTATTTTTTTCTATATGGTATAAAGCTGCTTTGTGAGTTATGTCCTTCAATAATTAGTACTTAGTTCTCTTACTTGCTAAATTGTATTATAGTTTGAAATTTCTCCACAAGTCATCACTTTTATTTGATGTAGTTATTGTTGCTGAATAAAATATAACCTTCAATCAGAAGCAAAGGAATAAACACCTCTTTTTTTGTAATGGAATGTATTGCTTCTCTTTAATGCTTGTTAACCAGAGATGCTGTCTCCCCTATCCCCCATTTTGGTCATAAAAGAAGTGAGTTGCAGTCTTTTATCCATGATATTAGCTAAAAGGCCAAGAAGGGGTGGCCTCCTAAGTCTTCCCTAACACATTCCTTGTTTGGGGGCTGTCTTTATTCTAAATTCTGTGAAGCAGGGCTCATGTGTCTTTCATTGCTTAGGTTTCTAAGGGTGTTCTTTGGAACCTCATCCTTTCCTTCTACTGCTTTACTCACTGAAAGGAGTAATGGCCCTTCCTAGACATGGCTGGACTGATTTCCAAAAGTTTATTTGAAAATGATTGTTTGAAATCTGTAATGCATTTTCTTATTGATGCTCTCAAGCTGGGCTTTGTGTGTGTGTGTATGTTTGTGCCTTTTGGGGAGATAAATTTTTTCAAGCTCGTTTTTTATTGTGAAATAATTCAAACATACAATGGAGAATAATATAACACCTTTATATACTCTCCACCAGCATTATCAAATCTTAACATAATGCTATCTTTTCAAGTTGGTTTTTAATTCATAAAGAAACAGAACAGAGTGCTATGGAAATGAATTTCTGCTTATAACCTTATTTGTATGGAAAACTGCCAAAAACACAGCCCTTCCTGCAGGGGTGTAGGAATTCCCCCTGCTGGCAGGCTTTAGGATTGAGCTTTGGGGCAGAGTCCAGAAGTGGGGTTTCAGAGTAATAATGTCAAAGAAATGTAGTCCAGTCTCGGGTGCTGTCTCCTACTGTGAGTGTAAGGTCTGAGTGGGCTTCTGGGCTGTGGGAGAGGAGAGTTGCATCTGTTAATGTAAATAAATAGATCAGGTGCTCATAAATCAGGGCTACTTGTCAGAAATGCAGTGCCATCCAGTTTCTGAGAGCACACACATCAGAAGCGGCTTATCCTTGTGCCTAAGGAGTGTTTGCATGAACCATGGTAATAGAGTGTGTAAAGTTTACTAAGTTGAGAAATCTTAAAACAAAACAAAACTTAGATCCTAGATTGTGTCTTTACTAAGACTGGGCCGCTCTTTGGATACAGAACTATCACAAATATTCTATTAACCAGTTATTTTTTCTTTTTTCTGTCTCTCATTAAATACTTTGTTATTGTTAATATTTGCCCCTTCCTTTTCTTCGGAGCAATGGAGTTAATGAAGGGAAGAATATTTATTTACACCTGTATTCTATGTTCTTGCTACTCAAAGTGTGGGCCTTCTGGACCAGCAATTAGGCATCACCAGGGAGCTGGTTAGAATTTCAGAATCTCAGGCCCCACCCCAGACAGACTGGATCAGAATCTGCATTTTAACAAGATCTGCAGGTGATTGTAGGTTAAAGTTTGAGAAGCACATGTTCTATATGTGTGCACATTGTCAAATTTTTATGCAATTTAAACTCTGAATGGGGTAGGTAAATCAATTCATTTTTGATCCGCTATTCTTAGAAGTAGGCTGTTAGGTGCCACATTCTTTATGGCCTTCATTTTTGGTGATATCTAGTGATATATCAGTTATATTCAGAATTACTGATGGAGTCTCTCCCTCTCTGTTTCTTTCTACTCAGTTGCATCATTTTTCTTGAAGACATCCCACTATTGTTCCACAGACCTTTCCCTCATCACTGAGAACTTGGGAGTTGAGTTATGTCAACAGCTGCCTTAATTACTTTGGTTAGAAGCGGTGGGATCCAGGTGAGAAGGAGAGTGCTGCTAAGCTCCCGCCTCCTGCAGGATGACAGGCGGGTGACGCTCACGTGCCACAGCTCCACTACAGAGCCCCGGTGTTCTCGGTTTGACCCAGATGGTAGCGGGTGTCCAGCCACCTGGGATAATTTTGGGATCTGGGATAACCGCATTGATGAGCCAATTCTGCTGCCGCCCAGCATTAAGTATGGCAAGCCAATTCCCAAAATCAGCTTGGCAAACGTGGGCTGTGCCTCACATATTGGCAAACGGAAAGAGAATGAAGACCGGTTTGACTTTGCTCAGCTAACAGGTGAGATCCTATACTTTGCTGTGTATGATGGACATGGCGGACCTGCAGCTGCTGATTTCTGTCACACCCACATGAAGAAATGCATCAGGTACGTACAATGACTTGCGCTCTTGAGTTTTCAGTTTGCCTTCTACTTCGTGTTTAAACTTTCCCTCTTTGGCTGAGATGTTCACTGTTAACAGTTACTTAAGTGGTTTCACACTGTTGTTTTATGAACAAGCAGCAGCTTAAGCGTGCCCTCTATTACTGATGATTGTAGCCATTGCAGAAATATATGTTTTAACAACTCCCCAGGCGAGAGCAATGACCAGAATCTGCAGCACTTGAGTTGTGATCATTTCAAGTGAATTAACAGAGTGCATGATCTCATGCACTGTGAGAATCTATGAAAAGCGTTTACTCCTATCGGTGCGTGGCACATACCACTTCAATAAATGGTGATTATTCTTTCAAGGGGTGTGAATTGTGTTACATACTTGTTGAAAATAGCTTTAGATAATTGGCTTTAGTATGGGGAAAATGCATTTAATGAAGGTGTTTTGGAGTTCTTTAAATGGTTTATTTACCTAGATTATTATTAATGTATTTTTGAGTAGCATGCTACTGCTAGAATTAAACGAGGGGGAGAACAGTGGCAGTTATGGTCATGTGACTTTCTTGTCTTCCTGTGTATAGTCATTTTCTACTGTTCATCAGGTGAATGATGCATATTTTGCCTTATCCCACAAAGGAACTCAGTGGCTTAATTTAATATGAAGGAACTCTTGACCTCTCAGGGTTGTGGTAGTGAGGATTAATCTTTTAAGGACGGGAACTTGGACTTTTATTTTATTGTCCTTAAAGGCCTATCTCTGTGCCTGATTCTTTTTCAATTTGATTCATTAATCTGTGCATTTTAAGCATCTGAAAGGCAAACCATGTAGGTCCATTGTGTGGAAAGACTGCTAGCTGGAGGGACCTAGAGGAAGAAGAGAAACCTATCCTAAAATGATTGTTTGCGGGTCTTTTTTCCTCCCCACAAAGGGATTTGCTTCCAAAGGAAAAGAACTTGGAAACTGTGTTGACCTTGGCTTTTCTAGAAATAGATAAAGCCTTTGCAAGGCACGCCCACCTGTCTGCTGACGGTAAGTAAAACAATCACATTTCTTAGGGTCCTGGGGAATATTGGGGTAAAACGGAAACAATTTAAGCCCTTTAAAAGGGTGGGAATTTTAATGTAAGTTTGTTTGTAAGGGTGCTTATGTTGAAAATGATTTTACATAAAGAATCACTTTAAATGCCGTTTGGAATCCAAACTAGTGTTAGTACCTCACTTTTAAATGAAATATATTGGAGAATTTTTCATAAATTGAAGCTCCAAAATGGTTCTGGTATTGAATTTCAATTTTAAAAAGATTTAAAAATATTTTAATCTGTTTGCTTGTTTTATGGACAAGAGGTCCATACTATGAGAGGGTTTATTGTTTTTGTTTTCTTAGGTGAATTTGATGAGCAAGTACTGAAATACACTACAGAGTAATCTCATCTAGCCAGACTCAGTAATTGTCTGACAAGAAGAAACTTGCTAATTGGTCCTAAATAGGAAAGGACAATGGCTAATATGCACTACTTTATATAATTAGAAGGAAGATATTTTTTTCTCCCATTTCTTAGAAAAGCTTGACCTTGCAGCTTTCCTGTAGTAACTAGTGATATTTTTGTTTTTATTTGTTAAACACAAGGGCATGTCAGCTGAATTTAAAAATTTGTGTACTGTATGTCCTTAAAGTTTGAAAGTAAAACATTTCTGATTTTGACTTAATTTATCAAAACCATTTCAGAAAAGTGTAGCTAATGTTTTCTAGTTAGCTGGCCCCCAAATCTTTTGCTCATAAAGTTAATCTTGAAAACTTCTGCAGTGACCACATACATGTATGCATATGGACCTCGTAACTGATTTGAAAATGAATCATGCAATAATATTAATTGTGTTTGGTTCATCCTTTTGTTTAAAGGAGGTCAAAGTGCACACAGAAATGTCATTTTCACAGTTTTCAGTTGGAGCGCATAGGGATGGAAAATCTCCCCGAATTCACAGATAAGAAACTGAAACTCAAGGAGAGGTAAAGTTCAGGTGCAGAGTTAGGGCTGGAATTTTCCTAGCTCCCCCTGTGGCCTCACTCATGGGCATATTTAATGAGGAGGATTAGAGAAGTTGACTCTAGGATGGCTCTACTCGCCTCATTAAGAGGTTTTTCCTGCTCTTTTCTGACGGCCTTACCATCATCAAATCCTCAGAAAAGCATTCAAGTCTACTCTCTGTTCAGGGATTTATTTTCTTGTTTGTAGATCATTCAGGCCCATTTTCTCTTCTTCATTCCTTTGGTTTTTGTCCCTTCCAGATGGCGCCTGAGTTTTAATGATCTCAGAACTTTCCTAAGATATTCTAAATTTAGTTTTCGTTTAATGGCCATTTGTTTGCAAGTATAATGGAGCATGGCAGAATCATGCTTAGTGTGCTACTAAAGAAAAAAGGTTTATTATAACATTGTTCTTAAAAGTTATTTTGTGTGTATTCTTATAGATCTATTTTTGTGTGTTTTTTTAATAAGTTTTTTGAGAACAACTTTAAAATTTATTCTTAATAAGTTACTTTCAAAGATGGCAAAAATTACCTTTTGCTATTTGGGGTCTATTTTAACTTTTCAATTTATGGATTAAAAAAACTCATACCACTTCAGATTTCAAAGTTAATGTTTAAATTAAAAATTTTTTTTTAGTTTTTAGTAAGAACAGAAGCAGTATCAGTATTATAAGAGTGGATAATATTCTTTTGGGCATAGCTACAAGTAGGACCAGTGCTAGTTAAATAAAGTTGTGAAGTAAGTGCAGTTTGCCCTCTCCATTATTTTTCACCTTTTCTTTTAACATCAGCCCCATTTTCCCTCCTTAAACCTTCCTGTGAGCAGCTTGAGGGTAGGGACCATGGCTTATTCATTTTTGAGTCTCCAGTGTTCAGCATCCTGCATAGAGTCTGGAAGCTACTCAGTAATTATTTGGACTTAACTGAGCTCCACTGTCTATTCTTTCTCACCAAACTTATTATAATTTATTCCTTGATTATCTTATAGCTGATTTAACCAAATTATTGATATAATGTATATGTTTAATGAGTTATCACTCCTGGGTGGATTGGAATTTTAAGTAGGGGAAACCTGAAAAGAGACTGATTAAACCATTGGAAAGAATCACTAATGGGGGACTTTCAGGTATAAATGGGAGGAGTGCCCCGCAAACATACCATATTAGCTTCTTAAGAGAAAGTGAAAATAATAAAATGAAAATAAAACATTCTCATCTTTTCAAGACTTCAGTCCAAAGCTGTCACATCTGCATAAAGTACTTCATATTATCCCATTAGCATTTAAAAAATTATTACTATTTCAGTTTAAAATGAGGTAGTTTGAGGAGCATAAAAGCAGAATGCCACTTATCAAGAAACAGCAAGAATCTTGCCCTTAAGAAATTGTCAGCTATTTTTATTGATTTGTTGTTGATGCATTTTGAATTTACCCTTCCTTACAAATAGCTAATTTCATCATCATCTTTGAATATTTTTGTATTCAATTTATATCAGTCATGTGTATTTTTGCAATTAATGAAAGTAGCCAGTAAATTCAAATGATATCCCTTTAGTCTATTATTTATGAACAAATTGTCACTTAAAACAAACCAGATGGTAGAAAATTTAGATGATATCCTATAAACTCTTCAAAGTGTTTCTAGATTGCTTAAGGTTTGAAAGCAGCAAAGCTCCCCCAGAGACAAATGGATCAAAAAGAGAAGACTTGCTCTGACGCTTAGAGTGGGAGACGTTGGTGGCAGCATCGTGAGTCTCATTGGAAACTTCCATGCTCTTCACATTATGTCATCTCTTTATGGAAGAATTAAACTACAAAATAACCAATGTTAGAAATGCAACATTTATCCCTCTTCTGCTGGGTGCAGCCAGAAGAAAAAAATAGGGACAGCATTAAAGAGAGATTCTTATTGTGCTGTTACTGCTTCAGCTCATTACTTTGATTTTGGTGTTCATAAGTCATACATGTCTAGAACACCCATTTTTAATAAATATTGAAACTGTATTGGTTTATACATATTGTTGTTTACACAGTTGAATAACTACCAGGGGTATATACTTTGAAAAGTACAGCTTTCACTCTTTATGTTGCCATTCAAGATCTTGATCATTTTTCTTTTGATATGTCGACCTGCAACACTGGGGGAAAGAGAGAGCTGCAGAAATACCCATCTTATGAATTACATAAAATTATAAACGTGCATTAGAGCTCAAGAGCCTTACTAGCCTTTATTTAAACAGTTAATATAAATTAATCCTTATACTCAAAAAATGCCTTCTAGATACTAGACCCCTGCATTAAGCACTATTAACAGATATGTTACTCCTTGTGTCTGATGTAGGAGGTGCTTTGATTCCTTCTTGGTGTATATTTAAATCCCGGTAATTTGGTGGTATGCTGTAGTTCACATCCTCTCTAACTATGTACTGCTTGTCAGACATGAATTATTCGGTCCTATACCCATGAATTTTCCCTTTTGTTATTGGGACAATTCTAATATTAATACCAAACAGATTTACAGTGCTTTTTTTTTCCAATTGAATAAAGATACTGATTTACTCTTCAAGACTCTTTAAATGAGTGTGTGTATAAGTATGTAGTTGTGTGTCTGTGTCACCACATATGTGTTTTGGTCCACATGCATTTGGATCTAGTTCTTCCTACCTTGGGAAGCCACAAAACTAAGAAGTGTCACTCTGTGATGAAAAAATAAACTCAACTACAAAATACCATCAAGTTGGGCAAACTGAGTTTTGGAATCATTGATTTGGCATCTCCTGGAATATTATGTAATTTGCTAGTGAAATTTTCACCAAAATAAAAACCCTTCCCCTTATTTTGCAGCTCTTTCTCTGCCCTCCCCTGTGTTGCAGGTTTGTAACGTGTGAGCACAATTCCTGGGTGAATTTCCTATTTGCCTCTGTGCGTGTTATTTGTGGCAGAGAACTGTGCCTGGTCAGCAGCTCTAGACCTGGAGCCCGTGGACACTATATGCTGGGCTTCAGTGGAAAGAGAGATCTGCTTAATTTTATCCCAGGTGAAGGAGTCCAGCGGTTCCTAGCCTGGACTACTGGAAGGTTCCCACATCCTCTTTGTCCCCATTAGTTGAGATGACTTGCGGTAGAAAATGTCCAGTGAGTGTTAAGAACTTATTGAAAGCTGTCTTAGTTTTATAGTTTCGTTGTTAGGGCAAAAAGGAAGACTTTTTACTTCCATGTTAAATGTTAAATGAAAATAAATGTTGATTTAATATTTATATCCTTAGATGCTTAGCAAACCAGAATCAACAGTTAGTTTTGAAAACTTTCCCATAAATTCTGGGATTTTGGAACTGTGAAGTTGGGTTGATAAAAACTCAAGTTCTTTTAAATTCCTAAGTGGCAGAACCATGAATTATAATCTTAAACAGCTAAACATAAAATTTTCATTTATAAAATTTTAACTCTTTTGACGTAGCCAATTAAAAACCACTTTAAACAATGCTGCTGCTGACAGCTTCAACAAAGGAGAGGAATGCTAACTCTCTGGACAGGTAGCGTCTGAATAAATGCCTGGCTCTTCCAATCGTTTGAAACTATTACGGTGGTTAAAATGTAAAGATTCCATTGTAGTTTGGAGAAACTCAAAAGTTAACATTTTTAATATAAACATCACTGATACTTACGCTAAAACATTTATGTTATACAGTGACAAATATATTTTAGCATTGCCAAGTTTTATTACTTTGGCACAACAGTTCCAAAATCAAGAGATAAATGGGAAGATAGTGGAACTATAAATGCCATTTCTCGATAAAGTAAATTCAGCATGGATATAAAAGATTAAGTAGGGTTTATTCATGTTTTTCCATTTTACTTTTCTGATTAAAGCAGGCATTTTAGTATACTTAGCGGAAAATATATTTATATATATCTTTCCAAAATGCATTACTGATGAAGTTTTTTAAATTGTCTTTTTGAAAAAAAAAATTTAGAAAGATTGAGCCTCCCATCCAAGTACTAACCAGGCCCGACCCCGCTTAGCTTCCGAGATCAGACGAGATCGGGCGCGTTCAGGGTGGTATGGCCGTAGACATAAAAGAAAGATTGAGCCTCAATCATTCAAATCAATACCACTTCATTTTTCCTAAATCTACCTTTGAGTTCAAAATCATCTTTGGATGATCACCCGAATATTTTATTTAGATGCTTTAAACAATTAACCATGTTACTGAAGATAATACCTGCTTTAAATAAGTTATTTTTTTCAAATTCTTCCAATTTGCTTTACTTTTTAGGCCATAATTTCACAGTGTTCTCACTTTTGGCAAGGCTCAATGCACCTTAAAATTTTTCATAAGTGGTAAAGAACTGAAGGCAGACATTGTTAGAATAAAGCAAAGGAAGATGCAAAAATGCAGTTTGGATTGGATGAAGGGAATAGTGGTGACCTAAAGCCAAGTAACATTTAATTTTATTTGTTATTGGTCAGAGAAAATTAATATTCATGGAATGCTCTGGGCCCAGGGCATGACCACAGGAGTAGCACTTGGCAGTACTGTCCTGCATTTGGGTACAGATTGATTGTATTAGGTCCTTCTGGAGCTCGGAGTGTTAACTATACCAAGCTTATGGGAAACTGCGTTGAATTTCATTCCCCGTCCCCCAGATTTTCTCCTAATATAACGACGGCTGTAACTTTGTTTTATGTCTGGGGGGGACAAAGATAAACAGAAAAGAATGTGAGCCTTTAACCATTTTAGGATTTTTTTGGTGAACATTTGTAAAGTTAAAACAAGTGTAGAAGGAAAGAATATAAAATATAGCACTTGAAGCGCAAATGGTATGCCCTTGGCATATATATCTTGCTTAGCCTTTTAACTGATAATATTTTCATAGGAAAGAAGTAAGAAATGGAAGAGAAAACTTTCTGAGTCCATAGATTACAGAAAAGTCAGCTTGCCTGAATGCGCTCAGTAGACCTAAGTCATCCTGCTGTATTAGTCAATCTAATTAAAATGTAATACTTTTAATCCTGACACCTGATATACACACAAAGGTGTCATTATAATTATTATAAGTTTAAGTCAGCTCTACTTGATATAAATAGAAGCCATTTGGAGACAGTGATGCATTATTTACCAATAGGATAGCAACTTTTTCTGTTTGCATGGAGCCTTGTTATGAATTAAATACTTCTTTCTCTGCATGCTCTTACTTACATAGTTCATTTGCATTTTGTTTGCATAGCTCTAGTTAAATTAGAATGATACATTTCAGCATTAGTTTAACATGCCTGTGTTTTGTTTTGTAATAAAACTTCCATATCCAATCATTTGACTATCACTGACTTGTACTCTTTTTCATAATGTTTGCAGCCACCCTACTGGCCTCTGGGACTACTGCCACAGTAGCCCTATTGCGAGATGGTATTGAACTGGTTGTAGCCAGTGTTGGGGATAGCCGGGCTATTTTGTGTAGAAAAGGAAAACCCATGAAGCTGACCATTGACCATACTCCAGAAAGAAAAGACGAAAAAGAAAGGTACCACCTCTACTGACCGAGCATTCTATGAGGATGATGTTGATAGAGTTTGAGATGGAAATGAAACCGTGCATTTTAAACTGAGTTCATGCTTAGGTTTAACTGTGCCTTGGTTTTCTGGGTATCACATCATAGTCTTTTAACTTTTTCTTGACTAGGATCAAGAAATGCGGTGGGTTTGTAGCTTGGAATAGTTTGGGCCAGCCTCATGTGAATGGCAGACTTGCGATGACAAGGAGTCTTGGAGATTTGGATCTTAAAACCAGCGGTGTGATAGCAGAACCAGAAACCAAGAGGATTAAGGTAAGAGAGGACTTGCAGACACCTGCAGCACATGCAAGGGGCGAATGCAGGGTCGTTTCCAGCTACAAGCTTTCTTGGAAGCCTTGATGGAAGCCAAAATGGCTTTTAAAAGGGAGTAATTTATGGAAGGCTAGATCAACTTTTCAGACAAATTAGCAAACTACTTTCCAGGCCAAATGTGTGATGAAGTATTTGGGTTTTGGCTTGGAATTCTCCTGGTAGAATGGCTCCACTGCCCTTCCTCACCTGCACCTGACCATCCAGCCTCACCTCTGCTTGGAAACTGACCCTGCCTCCCTTTTCCACCAAGCTCGCTAATCGCGCCCCTCTCTGTTTCTGTGACATGCTTTGCATGCTGCTAACCAGTGCCCCCATTACCCTACACTTCCCCCAACACACCCAGTCGTGAGCCGTGAGCCGACACTTCCCTCTCTGCAGCCCCGGCCTACTCTGCTACCTGACACAGCAGAGTGCAGGCTCCCAATAATGGCAGCAAACGTTTGTTAATTAACTGAAAGCGTTCATGACTTATAGATATCACACTTATGTTCATTTTATCTAACAAATACTTATATCGAGCTTAGTATGTGCCAGGCTCTGTTCAAAATAGCTACTCCACCATTTTACAGAGAAAACAAATCTAGAGCATACAGATGTCAAATTACCTATGTTTGCCCAGCCAAAAAATAGAGGAGATTTCAAACCCAGAAGCCTGGCTCCAGAGACAGTGCTCTCAGCATTACATCGTGCCGCCTCTTGCATCTGGCTATCTGGCTTCTTCCTTTGTGGTGTTACTAAGTAAATGTTAGGTTTGTCCTCCATGGTTGATGCTAAATGTTGCTACTTCTGCCCTAAATACAGGCCTTCCATTTTCACTCTGTTTGCCTACAAGCTTTTAAACACAGATGACCACTCAACAAACAGATAAAATCTTTGAATTATGAAGATTATTCTAAGGCCAAGTGTAGTTTATAATCCTATGCATTTGGTTCTGATTGCAGCTACATCATGCTGATGACAGCTTCTTGGTCCTCACTACAGATGGAATTAACTTCATGGTGAATAGTCAAGAGATTTGTGACTTTGTCAATCAGTGCCATGATCCCAACGAAGCAGCCCATGCAGTGACTGAACAGGTGACACAGTAGAGCTTCTGCTAGAAAAGTCCCAAGGGGGGACGACAGAAGGACAAACCCAGGTGCAGGTCTTGGTACAGCCTGGAGGGGCCACACAGGCTGGAGATTGCTTTGAAATCTTGTGTTTTAGCTTGAGTATCACAATGAATTTTACACTTGATAATATTTCCAATTTAAACAAGTTTTACAATTCTCCCAAGTAGTTAAGTAAAAATACGGTGCCAAGGAAATGTGCTGTTTCTTTTTTGGCTTTGCACACATCTTGAAATGATAGTAACAGCAATAGTAAATTATTATAATATCTAATACTAATATCACTTACTATGTGTCAGACACTCTTCTGTTCATATACATCTTATTCAAGATCACAAAACTATTAAGTTGCAGAGTAGTTGTCCTTTGGGCTTCAAACTGACAGCCAAGTTCCCATGTCTAACTACTTGACCAATAAACGCGACTGCTCCAAGTAATTATCCAATATAGGAACACTATAGCATAGTCAACTTCTGGTTTTTAAAAACGTGTGTGAGAAAAACAAACAGAAAGGTGTATGGAGGGGTTGTGTGTTAGTATGTCAGTCAGAGCTAAAATTTGGAAGCTGGATAATACCCAGCAGAGAAAATGTAAAATTTCCATGTTTTGTTTAATGTTCTGTTGGGATAGATAGCTCATTTATGTTATAGCCATCACTGATCATTAGCATACTTTAATTCAATAGCTATTTTTGCATTTCCCAATTTTTATATTTTCAATTGGGGAGCCAAATTTGGCCCAATCTTTTAAGTGCTATTATTTGTAATTAAGATAGAAGACCTTACTTTGAAAGCATTATTTGCTTGAAAATAGACGGGTAAGCATGAATTATTCACTTGTTACTATATGTGCTTGTGCAATTAAGGAAATGGGCCCAATTCCATGGATGATCACTTCTGTCCTAATTTCAACCACCTGTCTTGAGATATGTGTGTTCTAATTCATGAGGGTAATATTTGTAATGACTGCATAGTATTCCTCTATATTTGTTACCATAATTCTTTTAACACTTCCCCTAATTAGCAAATTTAATTTACGTTCACTTTTCCGTATTGGGGGAGCACTGTAATAAACATTCTTGTATCTATATGTACATATCGATTTTCTTCAGATATTATTTTCTTAGGTTAAATTCTTAGAAGTAAAATTGCTAGGCAAAAGAATACACGGTATCCTAGGGGGCTGGCCCGGTGGCATAGTGGTTAAGTTCGTGCGCTCCGCTTCAATGGCCCCAGGTTCCTGGGTTTGGATCCCGGGCACGGACCTAAATACCACTTATCAAGCCATGCTGTGGTGGTGTCCCGTATACAAAATAGAAGAAGATGGGCACAGATGTTAGCTCAGGGACAATCTTCCTCAAGCAAAAAGAGGAAGATTGGCAACAGAGGTTAGCTCAGGGCCAGTCTTCCTCACCAAAAAAAAAAAAAAAAAGAATACACAGTATTCTAAAGCTTTTAATAAATTTGCCAAATTCCCCACCAGAAATATTATTCAGATTTACACTTTTCACTAGGATGTTTTGTAATTTGTATTTCTTGTCTGTGTATGGTTTGTTTTTTCCATTTTCTTATAGGTATGCTTGTCTTTTCATGTGTAAGAACTTCCTATATTTTAAGTATATTAGTACTTTGATATTGCAAATCTATTGTATATATATGTATTTTGGTCTTTCAATTTATTTGTGAAACTTTTTTATTTTTTGAAGCTTTTTACATCAGATATTTTTATCAACCCTTTCTTTCACAGTTTTAGCCTCAAGCTATGGGGTCTTTTGAAATACGTTTGCTGGTATATATAATCCCAAGCTTACAATTGGGATTTACAATGCTGACTATTATCATTTGCTGTTTGAATTAGTTCCTAAAATTGATTTACAGTTCTCCCACTGCAGGAAATTTAGTTTTTGCCACTTTTCCATTTTATCGAGAACATAAACTTTCTTGTAGTTAGATCTTTATACACATCCATTTCCTTAGGTTATTATTCTTGAGGCTAAATTCCTAGAAGCAGAATTGCTAGATAAGACTTACGTTTCCTGAATCCTTAGTTGTATTCGTCCCTATGCTGACTGCTGTACAGGTATTTTCTTCTTCAGGAGCTGCATATCCTGTATCTTGGTCCACTGGTGTTTCTATTGCCAAAATCACTATAGTGGAATATAGTTAATGTGGTTGTTTTGGGTCATCAGTTATTCTATGTGCAATCTAATAAACTGTGTGGGCGTTGATACATGGTGAAAGAATCACAAACCACTGTGAAACAATTGGGTTAGTAACTGTGTGTTAAACCAGTTTGGCCTTCCAGAGGAAGAATGATTTCTCTTTGTACGTACTCTAATCTCCTGCATTTTTCTTTTTCTTCCTGCCAAACCTTGCAGGCAATACAGTATGGTACCGAAGATAACAGTACTGCAGTGGTAGTGCCTTTTGGTGCGTGGGGAAAATATAAGAACTCTGAAATCAACTTCTCGTTCAGCAGAAGCTTTGCCTCCAGTGGACGATGGGCCTGATCGCTTGCTGGGACTCTGGAGTTTCTGTGCCACAGTTTTCCCTGAGTATGTCAAGAAACTGATTAGATCAAAAAGTAACTGTACAAGAGTGACCCTGTGACTCACTGGATCAGTAGCAAGTCAGTGTAAACTAAGTAACCAATTACATAGTAGTTTTTCACAAATACCCGTCATATTTATGTTCAGCTGTATATTCTCAGTATAAATATATGTGTATTTCAGCTATTGTGAGTCTCTGAGTTGAGTGAGCAGATGAAAAGTGGTTTGATACACTTGCTGAGTGTTAAATTTCTAATTTTTAAAACTCTTAGGCAGCTTTGAGTTTCTTTTGATCATTTTTCTTCTTTATTCATTTGAACAGGTTCTTGTCTTCAAGTTCTTCAAAACTAGTCAGTATTTTGACAGCTACTCAGTGTGTTATCTGCAAGTGTTTATTTTTATTAACTGTACCAAGGAGTAAGTGTGAAAACTGAGTTCTCTCTGAGTTCTGTTTGAAGTCTTCTGGACCACTTATTGGTAAATGTAACAATGTAAAAGAAATTAATTCAGAGACTATGTCACTGCTAAATTGTATACATATTTATAAACAGTGCACTTGTATATTTCAGCTGTCACCAGGTTCCCTCCCCCATTCATTCCTATTTTTCTGCAGCTAAGAATGCTATATAGATATGATTATTCCTTCAATCAGACAAGAATGCACAGGCTAAGAGTACTTTGTTTAAAGCTATACAAAGTTAAATACTGCTGGTATCAGGTATTTTGTATACAGTTTCCATTTGTTATCTCTAACTCTGTTTTGTGTTTTGTATATAGTATGTTTATATCACTTTTTGTATAGACTTAGCAAGTTGGATAATTTGTCAGTACAAATAATACCACATTGACTGATACTGCTACAGACATAGCTTGAGGTTTGCTTATTTCTAGACTCATTGGAAAGAATAAATCTAAAACAAACATTAGAAGATTCTATATTTCAGTTATGTAATTTAGGAGTATAAAACTATACTTCCTTATAGCTGCATGTTTGTTATTAAAATGTGATTCTCTAAATGTGTGTTTGAAATTAGATCTGCAGTTTATTTCTGCAGACAATGTAAATTTGTTATATGTGTGGCTGTATGTACATATGTATATTTTGGAGTAATAGAAAATTAAAGGGAACCATCCTGCATAGCTCCTTCACCAGTTAGCTATAAATTATTGATATGTTTATCCCTAAGGACTCTTGACAAACTGAGGGCAGTTTTATAGTGGAGAACCAGTGGTTATTGGCAAATGAAGAAATAGATTAAAAATGGCTGTAGGAGATATTTTATGGTGGGTAACTTAAGTGGAAAACCCAGGAACAGAACCAGCATGTTGAAGCTACATTGCTATATGGTAATTTGCATATAAAATAATAGTATATGAGAAAAATACTGAGCGTTAAGAATGACATGGAGTTTTGTTGTAGAAACAAAAGAAAAAGAAACCACAAAGATAAGTTGGCGTAGTATATACCTTGAACTCTCAATTTTCAGGGTTGACTTTTTTTCTTTCTTTAAGTTTTATTTAAAGGCTTATTAGAAGGAAGGGGGCCTAACATAAATATTCGTATCTTCTCATTTTTTTGAGAATGCAAGAAAAGTAAATCTTGAGTTTTCCTGCCTATGTTAATCAGAAATTGTCCTTTGAAAAAAAGTGGTAAAGAAATATTTCAATTTTTTTTTCAAGGAAGTTTGGTGCAAGAAAGAAAAACATACAGGAAAGAATATCGTCTCCTATTTGTTTTCTGAGAAGTGAGGAACCAAAGGTAGACTAACAAAGCTGGACAACTTTCTTGCTTTTTCTGAGTCAAGTCTTGGAATATAAATATGGAAGCTACATTTAGGAGTGTGGAGAATTTCCAAACTAACAAGCAAACCCAAGCTCTGAAGCACAAAATGACATTCTAAAGGCGTAGCTTCCTTTTTGTTTGAGTTCTTCACATTACTATTCCTCTCTTTTACTTTAAAAACTAAGGGTGGGAGTGATGTTGTCAACTTCAAAGATCTAAGAGTCCCAGATGCATGAGGTCGATTGCCAGGTTTGACAAAGGAATTTGTAGGGCTTCTTGGTGTTGGTCTGGGGTGGACTTTGCTCTGCTTCACCTGAAAACTTTTAAAACATGAAACCAGTCAATTTTGATTAAAGCATAAAAACATACTGGTGTTTATTTTTCAAGCCACAATGTTGAAGTATAACTTGTAGATTATTATAATCCATAAAAGATAAGCATATTTGCATTAGGTTTCTAAGTCTATTACTGGGAATTATGCAAACAGTAGTGGAAAGAAGGACAGTTCTAAATAAAGTTTTTTAGTTTTTAACTGTGAATTTGCCATGTGGCTAATACCACGTGGGTATAGGTATAGTGTAAATTATATTAATGTAATTAAAATTAAATCAATTATATTCATGTTTACCTTTCATTTATACGTAGTTATATAAATCATCTTTCTAAAATGTGTTGCCAGGGGCCGGCCCCGTGGCGTAGCGGTTAAGTGCACACGCTCCACTGCTGGCGGCCCGGGGTTCAGATCCCGGGCGCACACTGATCCACTCGTCAGGCCATGCTGTGGTGGTGTCCCATGTAAAGTGGAGGAAGATGGGCACAGATGTTAGCCCAGGGCCAGTCTTCCTCAGCAAAAAGAGGAGGATTGGCATGGATGTTAGGTCAGGGCTGATCTTCCTCACAAGAAAAAAAAAAAAAAGAGCTCCTATAGATTAAAATATGAACACTAAAAAAAAAAAAAAAAAAAAAAAAATGTGTTGCCAAACTTTATTTGCCAACATTTATTTGGCAAAATATTCTTAAAATCATTGTGACTTTTCACAAGTATAAATTCTTAAGTACCTTATATATGCAAATATAAATGCAGTCCTGCTTTCTGTCAACCCTTTATTTGTTAGATCTTTATGTTTCTTTTTTTTTTTTTTTAAAGATTTTATTTATTCACTTTTTCCCCCCAAAGCCCCAGTAGATAGTTGTATGTCATAGGTTCGCATCCTTCTAGTTGCTGTACGTGGGACTCGGCCTCGGGCTGGACGGAGAAGTGGTGCCCCGGGGCGCGCCCGGGATCCGAACCCGGGCCGCCAGCATCGGAGCGCGCACACTTAACCGCCAAGCCGTGGAGCTGGCCCCAGATCTTTATGTTTCTTAAGTGCTTCAAAGTCTTATGCATTTTTTCTGAAAAAAAAAATTCATTTTGGAGGGATCAGTTTTGAATTTCTGTACTCTATGATGTCAACTTTTCTCAAGTTCCAACATTTAAAAATTTACTTACTTTGAACAATTATTAGCACACAATATAAAGAGAAATCATTTTTTCAAAGTGGAATTGATTTTTTTTAGAATCTGGGCATAAAGTGAGTGGGCCTATGCTAACTCTTCAATTATACAAAAAATGTATAATTTAGTTTCCTTTCTAAGAATGGACAAGGATTTAATTTCATGGTAATATAATAGTAAGAAAATACTTCAAGGTGGGATGATGGGAAGGGATGGTCAACATGGAGCATCAAACAATTAAACACAAATATGTATTTGTATTTTCCTGTAGCACCTCAATTGTTCACATACCCATGTCTGTGGAAAGTGACATAAAATTTTGCTTGGGTTACATTTTATTATATTTATTAAATTCACTTATCTGGCTGACTTAAGCAGAAATAAAAAGTCATGTCTTTACAAGCCAAATTATGATGACCTGCCTGTTGCTTTTGGCATCTGGAATGAGCCTGTTGACTCTCTGGCAGCTCCCCTTGGTTGTTAGATGGTTGAAATTGTCCATTGATGGTCATATTGAGTATTCTGGGCTGTGAAATTATGGAGTTCTTCCATTTCCAAGAATGACTCATCTGCCATTGGAGTCCAGTACAGAATTTAGTGGCTTGGTGTGTCCCAAATTAATTTAATTACTGCCTAAGTGCTCTTGTGTACATTTGTTTTACAATTTACCAAAGTACTACTTGGGTGTATAGCACTTACTATAGCGAATTGATGGAATTGCTCGTTTGACCATTGTTTTAAATGTATGTATTAGAGTAATGTGAGCTGTCTGAAATCACATATCTTAGTCTTCAAAACACCATTTTAATAAAGTACATGCATTAAAAACTTTAAAAGATCCAACTGTGTTTATTTGGCATCCAGACCTTCCAATATTTATTATGCGACCCTGTGAATACTGATATAAAAGAGTCAATGAATGGTTGGAAATTTCTTTTATTCAAATAATTTTGATTCGATCTAAACAAAATTTGTCTCTTTCATTTCCTTCTTCCAAAATATTTGTTGGTACATAAGAGGAAAATGATCATGATGATTTCTACAATATTTTGCCTTTGGTATATTTTACTGCAGCATCTCCATATATTAACAATTAGAAACATATGTATGGCAGTGATACTGCAGAACACAGCATTATGCATTTAACATAAACAATTTTTAATGTCCTAACGTTGATTGAATAAAATGTAATAGCTGCAATCCATTGGCACAAGGATCTCTTCTACAATGTATCCTTGAAGGCAACTTGGTAAACGCCATGGTGGCAAAGATGGGTACCGTTTTGTTCAAACTCCATACCTAACATTTTTTCTATGTTTAGCAATGAGGAGAAAATGCATATTGAATCATTAATTATTAGTGTTTGTTGAATGAGTAAGTGAATGCATTGATTATACTTTCATTAATTTTATGTTAGTGGGGAAATGGGCATTAGATATCTTAAATATTAAGCCAAACCTAGTATTATGGGTGAAGGAATGATATCTCATCTCTTGGTGTTTCCTTAGACGATGATCAGTTATGCCTTTGTAAAGTATAAGTTAGTATAAATATGGTTCAAAATCTTGTTCTGAACAAAACCTAAAAGAGCAATGTTGCATGAAAGACTAACCTTGCTTCTTTAAAAGAATATTAAGGGTCTCTTATGTGCTATGCCTTTTTGCATATATTATCTCATTCTTCACAACCACCATGCAGGGAAGCCTTTCTAATTATCATATTTTAGATGAGGAAATGGAGCCTTTGAGGAGCTGATAATAGCAAGATCCAACCCAGACCCCTTTGACTTCAAAGTCTATATTCCTTCTATTCTACTATACCTCCTTTATATATTAGCAAAAGCAAAACCAATTCACTGTTATCAAACATTTATTAACATCCATCTGCAGAAGGCTCTCTGGTGGACATGAAAAAGAGTTACACAGACATGATCCAGAAACTAACTTAGTGGATGTATGAACATATTAGAGATAGTAACTGAGCATATGTCACCTAAATAAGCTAGGGTAGAGAACTAAATTATGTCCAAGCCAAATGAGCATAACTGGGGAACCAGTGTGAATGAATGAGCAGAATTCCTGCTTTAAACAGTACAGGATTTGATGATCACTTATGGGAGTCCACTAAGTCAGTCTACCAACAATAAACATTTATTGAGAACCTATTATATATGTCTAAATGAAACCAGAGTAGGTCTAGCAGGGTTTGGGGGAAGTAGTGGTTGATTATCTCCCTAGTACTTTGTCAGCAGACAGAGAAGTGAGGAGAGTTATACCAGAGAGATATCAGTGTTCACCTGTACTGGTGAAGCAAAGATGTTTAGAGCCAAGAGAGATCTAAGTCATGAGTCTTTGGTCACATGTCAAGGGTAGGTTCTTTCAAGGATGAGGAGACATATGTCTTGTCTTAGGAGGCAGGTGGCCAAAGACAGGACCAGTTACAGATTTTGTGTGAAACGAAAATGCCAGGCCCTTATTAAAAAATTATTAAGAATTTCAAGACAGCAACTGCAAAGCACTAAACCAAGTGCTCTGTCCTGTACAGCTACACAGGTTGTGCACCCATGAAGCTAGCCCTGACCAAAGGGAAAATACTCTGAGCAAATGCTGCAAGTTAATGCAGAACACAATAAAAAAAAAAGGGAGCACAATGTATACAAGGCAAGAACAGTGTGATACAACACACAAACGTATAGAGGTGAAGAGAGCACAAAGCTGAGATAGAAGTGATAGAAAAAATTTTTCGTGGTTAGAGCCAAGAGGACTAACTTTCAATAAAGGTGCCTCAGGAGTTGTCTTAGGCACCTTACATTATTTCATTTATTCCTTTCCAAAATATTGTAAGGTGGGGGTAAGGTGGTGTTATAGGTGGCATTCCCTCGGAAGCAGACCCTGAGACAGAGATTAGATGAAGGGAATGCTCTTGGGAACAACACATGTTAACAGGGAAGAGAAATAAGCAAGAGTGGGCAGAAGGAGGAGTTGGGCTGTGATGCAGAGATCTACATCCCTCCACAAGGAGCTCTGGAATTGGGATGCCCCTTTAGAGTTGTTTTTTTTTTGTTTGTTTGTTTTTTGGCTTAAACAACAAGGCCTTTATTATTGCACAAACCAAAGCAAGGTGAGGTAGGAAGTTCACAGGTTGGTGACATGGAGGCTGGAAAAATCCATCACGAGTGTCATGTGAGAACAAGAAGGTCCACGAAGGGGAAACTTCTCTGCAAGCCACCAGCAGAACCCAGATAACATCCTTTAGGACAAAACTGGGTCAGGTACATGCCCTAGACAGAAGGGAACAAGGTCCCCCTGAAGTCTCAGGCTGCTCATTATTTTCTCTAGGGACAGCACAGACGTTTACTTCCCTGAACAGGTTGGGGTGACTGATGCTTACCATGGGGACCTGTCAGGTGGTAGAGCTGAGATGACTTGTGCCACAGAAACTGGCAGTGACATCATTTTGGCAGGGACCCCAGGCAGTTTAGGAAGTGCAATACAGCTCCTGGAAGCTCCCCACATACCTGGAACTTATGAGGAATCTCCCCACTGTGAATATTCAGGTGTAAGAGTTTCAACTTTAAGATGTCTCCCTCACAAAGGCTCTCCTCCAGTGTCATTATATTGAACAAGGAAATAGCATGTTCCCTGCATGTCTACAGCTTTGCTCTGTGTGAACTTTCTGGTGCCCAACGAGGTGAGATCTTTGGCTGAGGCTTTCCCACATTCACTGCACACTCATGAGGTCTTTCTCCAGTGTGGACTTTCCTGTGCAGAAAGAGGTTACATCTTTTGCTAAAGATTTTCGAGAACTTGTCAAGCCTGCCCGTGAAGCTTCTGGTGCAGAATCAGAGCAGACCATTGGCTGAAGACTTTCCCCACATTTGCTGCACACATACTGCATTTGTGTGTGGAGGGTGAACTTTCCAGTGCCAAATGAGGTTAGACCCTAGAGGTTAGACCTTAGGCTGAATGCCTTCTCACATTTGTTGCACCCATGAGGCC